CACACCTACTGTTCCACAACGCCCTCGTGGCTTTAAACGAGGGCTCCTGGGCTCATGTTTTTCTGCTAAAAATACCCCACCAACAAAAGGATCACACGGTGTTGTTATAAAGCTATTTTTGCGGCAGTCACTAAATTTCCTGCCCAGCTATGTATTATTTTCCATGTGAATCAGTAGTTCAAACAGATTTTGGTGCAAAAAGCAGATTTCATCATATAATCCACCATATAATCAAAGCAGGTAAAATGTGAGCAAAGAAACACGATGAGGACTTCTTAAGGTTGTAGGATCTCTCGTCTTTTATTTCACCCTTCGAGGACAGCGGGTGTTTGTGGTTCAGGGTGGATAATGAAGACACTGAATCTGTCCCTTTAATACTCATATTTTATGATAATGAAAGGTATTCCGAGAATGATTATGATAAAAGTGGGATCCCCCACCGGCGTCCCAGCACAGCTGTGCAGCTAGACAGCCAGCTACAGGCGCTGAATGAAAGGATCACACAAGAAGCGAAGAAAGGATTCACGAGTACACAAAGCAGAGGAGATCAACAGCATGATGAAAACTTATGTTCTGATTGGAACATTTTCATCTTTTTCCATCTGCTTTCATTCTGTATCAAGTCTTTTCAGTATGCTGACCTTTGAACTTTCTGAAACAGATTTCCTCCCAAACAAAACAATGCACTGAGAGCCCCATGGATGCATATTTATTGTCCTATGAGATATATCTGCAGCCGAATCTCTACATCAAAGCAGCAAAAATAAAAAACATGCTCGAGAAAGAAGGAAATTTCCTCAGGTGACATTAGTTGCATTTTTGGGAGGTCATCGACAGAGGACGTTGATGGCCGTGTGTTGCGGCGCCCCCCGATGAGCGTATCAGTAACATCTCCTGAGCATCAAAGCATCAACTGGTGTATTGTACTGTATGAGTAAACAAACTTAGCCGCCCCTGAAGCAAAGCCATACCAGCCCGCCGCCGCTTCAAAAGTTTCCTGCGAGCTGTAGGAAGCAGGTGAAAAAATAGAAGTGTGTTGAACTCTGACCTCGGGTGCACACTTGTTGACTGATGTTTCACACTGGGGTTGCCTTTTTCCCTTTGCAGCCGTCTTCAAGAGGAGCCGATCTGTGCGTGTGTCCCAGGGGAGATCATCCCCGTCTCCCTTTGAAGGCTCTGTGCTATAGAGCTGTTTTCATACAGCACCAGCTACGGGTTTCCTGTCTCAGCTGACCTCTCATCGTCTTGCGGACGCTTGACAAAAACTTCCCAGCACACACACCTTTCTCCGATTAACTACACAGGCTTCGGGTGGAGCGAGGAAGCAAAGGTGGGGTTGAACCTGCAGTGCCATCACACCCCAGGACAAAAAAGCAGAAAAAGAGCAAAATGTAGTTATCAAGAGTTCCAGCTGTCACAGACCAAAGCTGTCAGGACAGAGTTGAGCAGATTTCTCAAAAATTTGAATCTTGTTAAAGAGACAATGTGTAGTTGTTACCTTTAGTCTGGAAATATCCATTGAAATGATGTCCAGTTGTTGAAAAATATTGCTGGCTTTGTACCATATAACCATAAAAATAGGGTCTATAGGACCCTGGTCTACTGTCTTTAGGGGACGCCATATTAGACGCCATGATTTCTTGTGGTAGGCTTGGGGTCCTGCGCCTGTCGATGATGTCACAATAGAATGATTGGCTGAACGTACGACTACGTTAACACCTTCAAAAATTTAGGCAGAAAGAAACAAAAATGTAATAACAAAACTGCTAAACTCTAGAGTGGTATTGTCGTAGTATGATGATGTCATCAGCAGGGCACAGATCCCCAAGCAGACCCAGAAACTACAGCCCAATCTCAATACTCGCACTGCGCGCTGTGGTCTTCAGCAAAGTGCACTTGGAGAAAGTGTGCAGTAGGGCTCAAGTGCGTAGTACACAAGTGTGCAAATAATTGGCGAACTGAGACAGGGAGCATTGCGTCATCAATCGCAACGCATGCCGTGACGCTGGTGGCTGTGAAACTTTTTTCAAAAATCTTTACTAACAACTTTCAAACAAACAATAAAGCAATTATTTGAAATTAATTTTACTTCATTGCTGCTTTGTCTAAAACATTCAGAGCATCAACTAATCGTCCTAAAATGAACTAATTTAATTAGAAAAAACATATTTTCAGAAAAGGAACTTGAGCCTGTTTCTCCGGCAGCAATGACTTGCCCGAGGTCCACATCGCTGCGGACTTGGGTGAAGTGCAGATTAAGGGAGCAATAGGGGCATGGTCAACTTCCGCACTGGAGAATCGGGACACCCTACGCACTCGCACCCCTGGCTGGGAATGCGCAAATGGAGTACTGAGATTGGGCCTACAGCACCAGAAAACCACTTTAGGGAGCTTAATGGTTGGTTTATGCTTGACGCGTCCGCGAGGTCCGACTGGCTCCGCGTGGCGAAATTGCGTCATTTTAACAAACACGCCCCTCCACCGCGTCTCCGCACGGCCCAAAATTTCCGCACCACGCACCTAGAAAATTTTCTAACCACGCGGGTGGTCTGACATGGAAAAACATGGCAGACTGGCAAGAACTAGTATGGCAGAGGTTCGCAAATACAGACATTTGTATGATTCAGCTCTCAAAGATCACCGTGATCAACATATTAATAATTCTCGGAGAGAAATAGCTCGCACTACCAGAAAAGATGAGGACGCTGTTAAAAAATACTGGAATGCCATGTTGTAAACAACAGTAATTTTTACTTCTACTATGGTGTAGTGTTGGATGCATGCCGTAGAGCTCCATGCTGCCCCGTTCAGTTTGGGAGAATATTGGCTCACCGCAGAGACAAGCCACATAAACCATAAACGCTGCAAGTTGTGAAGCGCATTCCATCCGCGAGCCGCACCAAGCGGAAAGTAAATGTGTCAAGCATAAACCAAGCCTAAGTCTCCTCCCTTTCCGGTCGGACCATGTGCCCCAGTAAGAACAAAAAAAAAAAATGAATGGAGGTCAACGGGGCTAAAAGATCGATTTTCGAATCTACTTTGCCTTACGCCCTGGATCACACATGTTGTACTTCAATTTAAATTAAAAGTAAGGATGTGTGTTTCGACCACGACAGTCACGTACTTTGAGACTTCTCAGCTTGTAAAAGTTCGTAATTAGCATGACGACAAATCAGACAATGGTACGTAGCATTAAGGACGTCGTCACATAATCTCCTGTCCCCTAGCTTAGCTGCTACTTACCGCATGGTAAGATTTATGGTGGTTCTTTTGTCCTGTGGGAAGGAACTTACAGCCATTTTTCCTAAGCTTTTCCCTGTTTCTGGTTCGATGACGTCACTTTGGTGATGCACATTTGTAGTTCTGGACGCATTTTCACACAAAACCTAAAACAGCTTTCTCCCCCGTTCGAAAATAAGCTTGTTCTTGGCATCAAAATGTGTCTTTAAAATTCATGGAACTCATATGTAAAATCCACATGGCACATACTAAACAGGAATAGAAAATTGCATTTTTAGCCCATTGACTTGCATTAATTTTTTCGCTCTTCCAGGTACACGGAAGAAGATGGGAGTGACTTAGGCTCCCTATTGGCATTCCCTCAGGGTGTGAACGCAGGGTGTCACCTGGCAACAAAATTACCAGAAGGACAATCAAATCTGAGGAGTCACGCCGAGGTAGCATGCTTTCTGTAACATTTACCATATTATTTTAAACTAGCCAGTCACAGCAATACGGTGCTAAACTACCCTGAAATGTGTGTGTGTACTGCCCCCTAGCTGCAGGAAACTACACTGCAACTTTAAAAACAAAACCCTTAAAGAGACTTAGCGGAGTTTTGAATTTTCATGCTCACGATTGCCCCCTCAGGCCAAAAGCGTAACGGCAGCTTCAATAGTAGGCTCGTGCACGAGACGTGCATGCTGTACGTGCACACTCCTTTACGAAAATAACAGCTGAGACAGTCAGTGCCCTGTGTGTGGGGCCCGGAGGACAGAGGACAGGAGAACGCACAGCTAATTAATTAAATAATTTGGTTCTGTACCTTTCTCTTCAGCACAGCCGACAGAAGGTTTATGATGGGTCAGTCTTCCTGCATGCTCAGACCATTCCCTTCTCTTGCTTGAAAAATTGTTCCAAAATGAAAGTTGAACCCACATCTTTTTTAATTTGTGAATTCAATGCCGTTCGGCGAGTCTCAAATAAAAATTTGGGCATCTTACTGGCAAAAATATACCATTAATGTAAAAAATAATTTTGAGATTTTGCTCACATTTAGATTCGAACCTGGATCTTCCGCACATGAGTCCGTCGTCTTATGCTTGACGCATAAAGACAGACAGCCATTTACCAGGTGAGCTAAAATGCCAGTAATGTCTATGTATCTGTAGCTTTTATGTCCTTGATGACAGCTGAAACAACGTTCAAAGAACGGTTTGGAGCAAAAACGGCTATTTTGTTGCTAATTTGCAGGAAATATCTAGAAAAAAGTAGCTAAGGGTCCTCATAAATGTAGCTAGGTTCATCACTAGGCGTTAGGAACAGCGACAAAGTCGCTGAGTTGGCACTACCTCTCTCTCTGCTGCTAAAGCTACTGATAGCAAATGCTACGGGCTATGCCTGAGCGTGAACGCGCATGAAGCAGCCTGCTCGACCCGAGCATCTCTCTTTTTCTGTGATTTTACAGAAAAACAGGCAATCACAGTAAAAAATGCCAGGGCTCATTCTACAGGACCAGGGCATTGCAGGAGAATGTATGAAGAAGACATTTATTATTTCTATACATGTTTTGGCTGTCAAACTTCCATAATGCTCCTTTAAATCTATACCAGATTCTGTTGCCCTACATGACTATCCGTCCAGCTGACACAACACAAGGTCAGAGATGAAAAGGGAAAGGGTTCATGGTGGATCAGGTCCACATGGCCTTCAAGTGGGACGACAAAAGCACTGGTATCCTGCATTCACCCATAAAATCAAATTAGACTCTTCACACATGGCACGGATCATGGTCTGTATTTCAGAATGTTTAAAATTAGAACAAGTCAGATAAAAAAAGAATGAAAGGGTGGGAAAAAAAATGTTTGCTTGTAGGCGGGGGTCTTGGGTTCCCTCAGGGTGCGCTGCGTTTGAGCTGGTCCAGTTTGCGTTGCAGCATGTTGTAGTTGTCTCTGGTCCCCGGAGCCTTGGGGTCCAACTTTAGGGACAGCTCGTAGTGTCTCTTTGCCAGCTCCAGTTTTCCCCAACGATGATACAACACAGCTGAGAGAAAAACAATTCAGGCTACGAAGCAGCAATGATTCTAATTTTATTGATTCAAGGGAAGCAGCACAATACTGCATCGCTAGAAAGGATAAATAAAAATCTAGTTTTGGAGTGCTCACAGATCTCCCCACACCGTGAAATCTAAATTGCAGTGGCCTTACCTAAATTGCCATGGCAACTAGCAGCATTTGGGCTGATCCGAAGAGCGTGAAGAAAGAAGCCCTCTGATTCCTAAAAAAAAAAATAAAATACTGAATTATTTCTAAAGTAGGAGAAATTTACCAGTCCTGATTCAGATCAGAGACCCAGAACAAAACAAGGAATTTGGGTTTGTGTTCTGAACAGCTGACCTTGTATTTCTGTAACTTCCCCAGGACGTTCGCCAGCGAAAACATGATGGTGTGGTCGTTAGGGAGGAGCTTCAGAGCCTCACGACCGATTAGCTCAGCTTGACCCAGGTTACCTTGAAAATGAGAAAAAATACCAGCCGTTGGTAATAAACAATACTTGTGGAAGACCGGACTCTAGGCCCTGTTGATATTTCATCTGATAGGGGATGTTTTTATGAGATTAAAGTGCTTTGGCTTATTAAAATCACAAAAATACTTTAGGAAGATCAAACAGAACCTGAATCTCTTTTTGTCAGGATTATCTAAAGCGGTGTTTTTTTTCCCTCCTCACAGGCGGAGGGGTGGTTTAGTCTCCTAATTAAGGTTGAGCACAGGGCCCACTGAGTTATTGATCTCTGTCACAGATCTGTCTGATGTCTGGCCAGGAACGGAGAAAGAGGAGACAGAGGGCAGAACAACGGCCGCTCCGTCCTGAGGCATCGCCGTGCCCTTTAGACACATGCGACGGCTGGGATTTGTAAACGCTCAGCCTCTTGTTTGTGTAATATTAAAAAAATACAAACACTAAAAAAGAAAACAAATCATTTAATTCCAAAATGACACCTTTTGTTCTGGCCTCTCTCTCTTTTTGTTGTTGGTGAGGAGAATTATTTGTCAAATTTTAGGAGCAAATCTGGTGAGGATGGGGTGGGGGGGGGGCGGGTGTACTCTGCTCTGAGGGGGTACTGTTATGGCTGCACTCGCCCTTGTTTGATCGGGAACATACTGAGCTCTGATTGGACGGTTCCCATGCCCTCCTGGGAGACTCCGCCCCCACGGGAGCAGCTTCTGACAAAACGGCTCGAGCGTTTGGAAATCAGAGCATTCTCCACACGGCAGGGAAGAGTGCCTTCCAAACTCACAGCACAAAAGCTTTAATACATAAATTTCAGGCATTGCTGATTCCTGCTCTTCCGGTCTAATCTGGTTGGCCATTTAGCTTTCCTGCTTTTCAAAACATAACAAGGCTGTGTGTTGTTGGATATTAACGAACACAACCTTTGGCAGCTCAGCTCTAAAGGTTCCTCTGCACCACAAACGCACAAACAGAGCAGGCCCTTTGTGTTTTGTTGGTACCGGTGTTGTCCAGCAGAATGACCATGTTGTTCCAGGCCAGGCTGTGGTTTGGTTTCAGAACCGTTGCATTTCTCCACGCATTCAGAGCGTCAACATGCCGGTTCTGGTCAGCGTACTGTCACAGCAAGACACAAAGACTGTTTTAATATCCCAAACTCAGACTGACTGCTATTACAGCGAGTCAGGCTGTGGAACCTCACCAAGCGTCCCAGGTTGTAGTAGCAGTCTGGGTATTTTCTCCGGAAGCGGATGGCATTCCAGTAGCTCTGCTCTGCCTCCTCGAACTTCCCGAGGCTGTTCTGAACTATTCCAAGATTCATCCACGCTGCAGCAAAGTCAGGTCTACATGGATCAAAAGTAGAAAATAAAAACTTATTAGAGATTCTGAACAAAACACACACACACACACACACACACACACACACACACACACACACACACACACACACACACACACACACACGAAACATCTAAATCCATATGCATTCATCATTGAGATAGTCCTGGTAGATTGTAATAATTTATAATTATAGAAATTAAAGATTCTTAAACGATCCCATCTCTCTCTCTTTTCTTGTCTCTCAGTCAATACAGAGTGTTTAAGTAAACTCCCTGATGATAAAAACAACCACTTCTGATTGATTACTTAGGTCCAAATACAGTGTATAAATATACAACTTCAAATCACTACATTTATGCAGCCACATACTGAATGGAAACAGCTTTAGACAACAGCTGCTCTGCTTCGGTGAGCTCGTTCTTCTCCTTCAGGATGTTCCCCAGGTTGTTCATTGCATGCACGTAATTCGGGTGTAGCCTGGCATCCAAGAGAAGAAACAAGCAAAGTAATTTAGCTTCTAGTTTGTGAGTTAAATCAGCTTCCTGTTTCTCATGAGGACACAAACCTGACTGCCTCTCTGTAATATTTGACAGCAGCAGTGGCGTTCCCTCTATCAGCCAGGTTCTTACCTACGTTGTAATGAACCTGAGGACAAACGCAGCGACACATCAGGCACTTGGTAAACGTGGGATTGTGATTTGGTACAACACTGAAGGCAGCTGCGCTTTTACCTTAGCGTTGAGTGGACAGACAGACAGAGCGCTGAAGAAGAGGCTCTGCTCCGAGCGCCACTGATGACTACGAAGGGCACAGCGGACTACATACACACACAGCAGGGCGAGCACCAGAACACACAGCAGTTTCTGAGGAAAGGGTATAAAATGTTTATTTGTATCCACAAAGGGACAACGTATGTAAATTACCCATCGCTTTTACTGTTTTTATACTAAGATGAGGAACGACCAAACCTAGAAAATAGCAGCAGGAGGAAACTTGTGTAGCATTAGAAGATTAAAACCAAGAGAACGTGTTAGTAAAGCAGTTCAAGGTGTTTTTAAAGTGTGTTTGTTAGTAAAACAGGGTATCTGCAGGTTTAAGGGAGACAAATTTAAGACTTTTTAAGACCTTTTTAAGGCCACTTAGACCAAATTTAAGCTATTTTAATAATTAAATTTAAGCTTTATTTTCCAGCTATTGCCTGGAGCCGGTGCTAAACACGTCACGAACATGGGATTAGCCATCCAGTTACCATTAAACTTGCACTTCCCCATGGTGCAAGCTCCCACTAGTTTAACCAACTAATGTGCTCATCTAAAAATAGCCCCCTTTCACAACCAACTGAATGTGTACGGTTCCGCTTACGCCAACATCGTACACAAAAAATACTGAACACTAACTAGAAATTCATGAAAATTTTATAGAAATAAAAGAATCTTGTTTATTGGGTCTTTGGCTATGTAAGACCTTTGGAAACTGTATTTAAGGATTATTTGTCACTTTTAAGGATTTTTAAGGCCTTAAATTTGGAAAAGCTAATTTAAGACTTTTTAAGACTTTTTAAGGACCCGTGGATGCCCTGTAAAAACAACCAAATAATAAAATGACGAGAGGTGAATCATAGGGAAACAACATTTATTTAAAATCATTTTTTCTGAAAAACACCACGGAGAAACACAAAACATGAGAAATATTGATGCACAAATATGGGAATTTGGACCGTTATCGAATCCTGATTTTAACACTGCTGTTTGGATGCGCCGCGTTAATTTCGAGGGACGCGCACAAACAACGCTTCAAATCAATACAAGTAACGCGTGGCAGCTCGGTTTCTATAAATTTGAAGTTACTTGTTTCGTAACGTACGCGTGCATTTGACAAGACAGAGCTGAAAACGGTTCGTGGCGTGTCGGTTTAGTATTTTTTTTTTACCCTCTCTCTTTTTCTCTCTTATACAAGACGCCCCACCCACTTCTTGTCAAACCACACCCAATTCCTGCTTAGGCTCCGCCCACTCCTAGTACAGATACAGATAGAGGTGCACTCGCTCATCCCTACTGATATACATGTATACACATCTCCGTAACACCTAAACACCATCTGCTAGACTTTTTCTCATAACCAATTTTCTAAACCTCTCGATGTTGCAAATACATGAATAAACCAGGTGACTCCAGAAAAGGGCAGGATTTGAGTTAGTGCACACTGTTGTCCTATTTCATGTTACCCTCTGTTTGGTCCAGTGGCAGCAGCAGTGTCCCAGTGAGAAGGCCAGCAGTAAGCAGTAGCCAGCTGAAGACAGGTAGAGGACTCTCTCAGCAACCACAAACCCCACCCTGAAGAAGATGTTACACGCAGGAAGAAAAGGGACCAGCAGCAGCACCAGACCCAAGGTCAGAGTTCTGGAAGGGAGCGGAGAGCAGAATACAGCAACGGATGAGTGGATTACACTCTCAGTGAGGTTGTGAGATGTAATATGATTCAGGCCTGAGTGCAAACCAGCAAACGTCTACTCTATCCCATCAACAGGAAGTGAGGCGGCTCAGCCTGCTTACCTCCTCCTCTGGCTGTCCGGAGAGCATAAGGCTTGGTTCATCAAGCCTATCAGGATGCACCAGAGCAGCAGCGGCAACACTATCCTCCAATCAGTGGCTGACATAATGAGAGGCACACAGCCCATGGACCAATCAAAACACAGCCACCAGGGACACAGCAGTAGCCAGGCATTAAGAGAGTAGTAGTAATTATAGTTCACTATCTGCCAATCAAAACGGAAAGAAGGCAGAAGGAAGTGAATGAGATTAAGTAATAAATAAAAGAAATAAGAAAGTGAAATCTTAACTTACTCTAATAAATATATTTTCTTCAAAAGAGGCAGGGTTGTCTACTTCTGTGAAAGCCGGTGGTCCGGTGCCCATGATCCTCCAGCGAGCATAGAGCATCAAGAGGCCTCCAAGGCCCAAGAGGGCCAAGCGTGTCAGCAAACGCGTTCTCAGCATTTCCCTTAGCTGTCAGAACAATTTACCCATTACTAACAAAACTAAATCTGTATTTGAAGCTGCGTTTCATTAGAAGCCTAATTAAATCCAAACAGCTTTGCACAGACGATGTGTTTGATGTGACATTCATCCTGTAAAGGTCTGATATATGACAGAAAGAGAACTAAACTGAAACTCACGTCGAGGTTCTTCCTAAAGATCAGCCTCTGGCAGAGTTCATACACATTAACATTACAGATCAGGAGGACATCAAAGGCTGCGTTCACACCCTGAGGGAAGATATAGGTTCTCAACAACAGTGATCCTTTCATCGTTTCATAAATCATTTATGTTTTTAACCTAAAGAAGGAGTACAGGATGTGACACAATCAGCGGCATGTTGTAGATAATTCACTTAATGCGAGCAGCGATGAGATGGAATCATCACATCTCAGGGGCTTCCTACCAGGACAGTGATGCCTTGTTCTTTACAGAGCATTGCTGCAGCACACAGCACGAGGCTGACCACCACCCATTTCACAGAAAAGCTGTCATCTCTGTCGCACCCTGAGAAGACCAACACCAATTACTGACGGTTTGGGATTCAAATGAAGGTGTTGAAATGGATGCATTTTAAATTTCATGCTGCAAGAGAGTTGATGAGAAAAAGAAACAGCTTTTGAAGCAGCAATAACTTTCCTACCTTTGTTAAAAGCTCTGCAGTAAGTCAGGAAGGATAGCTGGAAGAAGAGTGCACACAGAAGGTCAGCTCGGCCCACTATGCCCGCCACCTTATGGGGATGGAGAAAAAAAATAGTTAAAGATAAAATAAACATCGTTCAACACACTAAAAATACCAGACTGACTTTATGCATCTGGTCATAAAACGTCTTTTGTTCCATATGCATCACACCATTAAAGCTGGATCTTATTAACAATGGAAGGAAGAGACTCATTACCCACATGGACTGATGGTGTGTGTGTGTGTACTCTGTAGTGTGTGGGTACAGTATGGTTGGTATCCTGGGGTTGCCTGCTTTGATAAATGTGGCAGGCCCGAGCTTACAGTATGCCTCCCTGCCACCCCCCTAGGTCCCCCCCCCCGTCCTCCCTCTGCATGATTAAAAAGAACGCAGAGAGGGAATCGCTGCCTTCCAGCCAAGCTGTACAGCTAAAACATATACGCTGGCTGGTCAATAGGCCTCCCAGCACAGATAATAGTCAGCCTATGCTGCTGCACACACCTTGGCCCCACACGACCAGCTGAGACTGGGCTTTTGTTCTTGGCATGGAGGCACTGGATGTTTAGTTTCAAAACCTGTGGCCTGGGAATTCGAGTTGCTGCAAATATCTCATTTTTGGTGCACACAGGGGCCAAAGTCCTGTTGGAGTTTCTTGATATTTCTACTGAAATAATTGTGTAATGTCACTTTGGTCTCCTAAGCATAATTCCTCTGAACAAAGGCCCTTTCAAGATTCAGAGAAACACATTTCAAAATGACCAAAGTATGTCCTTAAATAGATACTATGCAATTTTTTCTAACTTTTAAATAATTGTCTTGAGCCGGTATGTGTTAAAATGATTGTTTACAGGGTCAATGAATGAAGTCACTCAGACCCCCACCGCCCCCTGTGGCCAGAATATTGCACTTACAACTTCAGACAGGCGGGCCACCACCTGAGGACTTAGAAAACAAAAGAGCTGACATGCTTGTCGTTACAGTTAGCTTCCAGCATGTTTCCTGCATGTTTAGATTGTACACACAGCTGATTTAGTGATGAATCACTCCTGTAGAATCTAATGAAGGCTGGGGAAACATTTCAACTATTAGACAAAGATGTTAAAAAGACGAACGCACAACAAAGAGATAAGTTTCGCTTTTGTTCTATTAAACGAACACTAGGGGGTGCTAAGAGCAAGTGAAAACTGCCAAGAGGGCCTTTAAAGTGACAATGTGTACTTTTACCTTTACTCTCAGGAAATATCCATCCAAATGTTGTTGAAAATGAATAAAATTATGTCCAGCTGTTGAAAATTTGGGTCTAAAGTACATATGGCGCGGGACTAGCATCTTTGGGTGACAACATATTAGACGGCTTCTGGCTGGCTCGGGGTCCTGAGCCTGCTGATGACATCACACTAGATGACTGGACGTACGACGGAAGTTACGTTACCACGTTCAAAAAACTTTAGGTAGTAAGAAACATTAATTTAATAACAAAACTGCTGAACTCTTTCCAAAAACCTGTGTGAAAAGCCAGAATTGAAAAAGAGGTTCAATTTTTTTGTAGAGATGCACCGAAATTAAAATTCTTGGCCAAAACCGAGAATCAAAAATGAGGCCAAAAACCGAAATAAATGTCAATAATTAGAATCATAGCATTAGAGGGACTGTAAAATTAACCGTTTCAGCATCAAAGTCGCAATAATGCGTTTAATGAGCCCACAGTTGCAAATATAATCCCTCATGAAGTGATTACCTTATGTAACCCAGGGAGCCGCCCTGTCACCATTTTCACTTCATGACTTACACCTGCCGCTCCCTTAATGGTGTGCCTTTAAGAACCCTCCTTTACCTGATGCTTCCTGTTTTGCTCCATTTGCACTCCACTGTGGTTGCTGCTCCCGCTGTGATTTAGTCATTCAGTATCAACTGAACTCCAGCCCGAACTCCTACTCATGTTAAGTGTACAGCAGTCTGAACAGGGTTGATGCACCGGTGAGCCGTTTGTCCAATTGGCTTTTGCAGTAAGTGTAAATGTGGGCCTCACTGTTGTTTGCTTAGCATTGCAGCAGACCACCCATCACCCAGTATTCAGACACTGATGCTGTAATTAGACACGTCTACTCAGTGGTGAGTCACTATGATTTATTTATTATATTTGTGAAAGTATGGAAAGCAGTTGTAAAACATAATCAAGTGAACCTAACTGAACTTGGCCTTGCTGTCCAGTTTGACCTAAGTGCACTTAAATTGATTGCTTTGACCTGTTGTTTGATTGCCCTGAGAAACGGGTGTGTTATATGATGAATGTGTGTTAATCAAATTGCCACATGTTTGATTTATGTTCTTTGTCTTTACTTGTTTTGTCAGCTGACTAATTTGTTTTTTCTGGTCTTATTTAGGTCAGGTTTTTGTTGTTGCTTGTTTGACCCTTTTGGTTGATTCCCGGTGGTGCGATCCAGGATGGCGAGCCACCCATACCCACCGTGATGTGGTAGGACCTCTGATGTGACAATTGTACATCATCTTGAGTCTATACGGTCTCACCTTTGGATAAAGAGAGATAAAGACTGCTGGTTGGACTGTCAAAAGAGATCTCTTCTAAAACAAATCGTGGACTCTGGAAATCACAGGATTTACTTTGTTACCCTTTTCCATTTATTATACGAAGTGTTGTGTTTTGTAATTCCTGTCATAAAAATATAATATATAAATAAATATAAATATAAAGGTAATACTTTACATGATTATTATTATATCCTGTTTTTGTTAGTAAATATGTTAATTCTGAAAAGTAAAGTCTGACTGCATTTTATTCATTCATGCACTTTGGCTCTGAGGACAGACCAAGTATTCATTGCCTGGCCTAGAGGGGGTTACACTTACACCAGAAGATAGTGGAGATGTGTAACTTCAATCTGAGCAACATTTTAGGTGTTTCTATTGAATTTTTGGAATTTATAGAGTTTGAAAACCACCCCTCATCCGGACGTTGCCAAATGAGGAGAGGAGGTGAGTGGAGTACACGGAGAGCGAATATTATTTTATATTAAAGAGGAGAAACTTGCAACACTATCAGGTCTGTTCATTGTTGACAAAGCTCTTTTTCTGGTAATGGCTGACTCTGATTCTAAAAAGTAATATTCACCCTCTGAAGATTTTCACTCATCCAGTGAGGAAGAAGGTGACAATGCTGCTGAGGCAGCAGAATCTGTGATAATAAACACACTGCACACATGATCCAATGCTTATTTCAGCGTGTTCAGGACATGGTGGGTGTAGAAAGGACGGTATAAACGCCGCTAATAGTGACAGACGCAGTGGGAATGTATATATATATATAAAAAAAATAAATGCCAGGAAGACGTGGTAGATGTGAAATGGAAGTAAATGTCCGTCACGTAATTGATATGAATATTCCAGCGATCGCAATAAAACAGCATTAATAAAAGGGGAAAAACTTTACTTTTGAAATCTGTATGAATGTACTATTTTGATCAAACAAGCAAGATGGCACATATAATCCTTTATTTTACCAGGTAAAATCTCATTGAAATGTTTAATCTCATTTCCAAGAGTGACCTGGTCCAAGAAAGCAGGGCGAGGACGGAGCGAGATTAAGCGAAAACAGAGTTTACCTGAAGGCCGGTTTTGGCCGTGTTGTTTCTGTGACTTTGGTGTTTTGGCCGAAAACCAAAAAAGCACTTCAGGGTCATTTTCGGTGGCCGAATTTCTGTGCATCGCTAATAGTTTGGTCAAGAGGTATTGCTGTAGTGCGATGATGTCATCAGCAGGCGCAGGACCCCGAGCGGATCTGGAAACTACAGCACCAGAAAGCTACAATCTGCATTGCATTCTCTTGGTGGACTCAACTGCAGGACCATCAAAGTCTGAGGAGTCGCACTGAGGTTGCATGCTTTCTGCTCCACAGGTAACAACACTTGGAGTAATGATTTTTAAACTAGTGACAGTCATGGCAATATGGCGTATAACTGCTCTGAAACGAATGTCTGTACTGCCCCCTAGTGCCAGGAAACTACACATTGTCACTTTAAAGGTGCATTATGTAGAAATCAAGTAAAAATGACATCCTGTGGTAAAATTTGGTTACCTCAACCACTTTAACCATCTCTGTCGTTTTTTGCCGGCCGTTGTCAAATTATAATTGTCGGTGCTGCAGCACTAGCTTGCAGGAGACATGGCAACCCCACACTCACTGATGGTAAATAGTAGTTACATCCCTCCCTCCTTTGTTTTGAAAGGAGAAAAGCTGTGCCCCCCCCCCCCCCCCCCCCCCGCCAGTTGGTTATGAAATATGTTTCAGTATCACCTTCCTTCCAAAATGACTCAAATATTAGACTCTTTTTGGATTTCCCCACTATATTCTTACATACTGCACCTTTAACGCCGCAAACAACCTAAAGAAAACTACAAATAGTGCAAAAAAGTAAAAGCATAAACATGCATGGATGTTTCTCCCATAGGGAAAAGCCTTTCTTACTCATATTCCATTTGCATTTCCTGCATCTCTCGGCATCTTTCCTGCATCTCTGAGGTACACTTGGTCATAAGCAGAAACATGCTCAAACCTATACCAGTGCCAACAGAGTTCTAGTTTTCCAACACTGATTAACAAATCTTCAATTTTAAAACACCAACTTTTTATTTGAAAGGAACTTGGCAGCCAAGACTCGTGCTCTCATTGGTTCCACCCAAGTTCCTCCCACTGACGCTAGAATCGAGACAAAAAGATGTGTAACATTGTAGGATTTTGGTTTGTACCTGTAGAATGAAATGTGTGTTTTGAGAGTTTTGATTTCAAACTTGTACCTTGATTTTTTTCAATTTGGAAGTCTGCTAGTTACAAAACAAAAGTTTCATGTTTCTGAATGAATGTTTGATTTTTACAAAATAGAAAATACAAGTACAAAATACAATGTTCCTGTTACAAAACAAGAATACAAGTACGAATTGAGAATTACAAGTTACGAATCCATAGTTACATGTGATGAAACATGTTCGAAGTTACAAAACTTGGTACAAGTTACGCTGAATATTGTACAAGTTACGCTGAGTTACTAGTCGACTAGTTCTTACAACCCCTAATATATATATATATCGGCTTTAGATATCGGCCATCTGTGAAAAAGTTCTTTATAATTCGGTATCTGCATTGGCCTTAAAAAAAAAACATATCGGTCGGCCTCTACTCTAGATTCCACTTTTGGTTTGTACCATATTTGTTCAGGTTTACAATATTGCTGTATACAGAAATTTCCAAACGCTGGCTTAATTATCCCAAAGTAAATTAAAAAAATTATTCTGTAGAATCTCTTTACTCCTCAATGTAGATATCCCACCTCTCATCCACGGAACAAACTCCTCATAGAACAAAAGCAAATAAATGGACGGTAGGTGACACAGATTCAAGGATCAAACTTGCAAACATAGCTTCAGTCATTAGAGGAAAGAGAAGGGTTACTGTAACAAGTGAGATGCCTGATGAGGACAATAAAGTAGGTTACAACAATGAAACACTTAACTCTACTTACACTTTCTGTGTGGACTGGGTGAGCTGCAAAAAAGATGGCGGCAAGCAGAGAGGTCTTTGGAGCACGGTTGAATGTCCGACCCTTCTCATCACAGTCCAGTCCACCAATCAGAATGGCAAACACGTCAATCATGAGGACAGATATGACAGCATGGAGGGTGATGTTTAGTACATGGAAGCCAATGGGATGCAAGCCTCCAGCTAAGAGGTAGTTTAACCTGCAACAGCAAGAGAAGAGAATCTTTGTGCTAACTGTTTGTGAGGGATGTCTAAGTGGGGTTAAAGGGTTAAGAGAAATATGACGTGATAATGCAATTAGGACAAGGTGAAAATGAGAAGTTTGTACGCTCAGTGTCATTTAAAACCAGAATTATCTATGATGCTGAAATAATTTCATTTAAAAACTAAGAAAAGCCCCATCCTAAAACCCTTGTTATGAACTTTGACAAATAACTGATCAAAGATATCCCTGCAGCATCTTCTAGGAATATGTAGTGCGTGACTAAATCCAACTAGTCACTGGAACTAGAATGACTCAGTTTAGCTTTGGTAACAGGCGGGTTTTTGATTAAACGTCCTAGATGTAAGACAAAAGGCCTTTTTTCTTTAAGCTGTTACCTGGTCTTAAATAACCATAAAGGTATTGAAGTTTAGATCTTTTTCATTCTGATGCTGGCACCTGCTCTTTGACACATAAATGACCAAAACATGTTCCATCACTCACTGTCTACTTTTTCACAATAATGGTAAAATGAAAGAGAACCTTCTTTTAGAGTTTCACATTTTGGAAAGAATTTAAAAATTTTCCAATCTTTATCAGGTTCAAACATTATTCAAATCATACTTAAACTATAAAATTAATCAAATGAAACGGCTGTGTGATGAAACTAAACCTATGAATCAGTAGCTTGTAAAATCACCTTTAACGTCTTTGGGGAGGACGTTTGTCCCACCCATAATGACAATATCGTTTTAGGCTGTTTAAATTAGCAGAGATGCATTTGTGGCTGGGATGGCTTTATTTTTGACTCTAAAAGACATTGGTAAACAGAGGAGTTCATTGTGGACTCAATGAGAAAACAAGCCCAAACCATCATCCCTCCACCGCTATGCTCGCAGCCTGTTGAATACGTTTCTGCTGATATGCTGTTTCTTTTCTTGAGTGCCAAATATGGTGCTTTACTAATTAAACTAAACAATTGTTGGCAATTGGGTGCTGTTTTAGCTGACAGAGTGCATTGTGCAAACATCGGTAATGACAGTAAACAGTTTAGGACTACAATAGCACACATTCGTTTATTCATTCATCCCTCTAATTAAGTGAGTGATGCAATATTTTTAAGAGTTTCTTTCGTAGTTGAATGACTTAGTAGCAGACAAAATGTATTTACAAATTATTGTTTGCAGCATTACTGTGTCATGCTGTTAAAATATGTTTGTCACTGTCTTAAAAAAGGAGGCAGCTTTCAACACCTTGTGATCAAAGCTCGGGTTAAAAAATTGCATCCATCCCCATATTCACCACCTATAACTGATCTGAGGGTTTGTCAAGTTGGAAAACAAAATTAAAAAAGATGAGCAATGTCTTCATTCACATTACACCCCTCCAGCTGCTCATACTCCTTGCTGCTTGTTGGTGTAACCACTGCTCTGATGTTACTTAGAAGAGTTATTTTTTTGTTTTCTCAATGCAAAAAGAGACAAAATAATTAAACACATACATCTTAGGTGTGTTCTTGCTGTGTCGTATTTCTAATCCCATGCTGTAGTTCTTTTTTTAAAACACAGAACAGTTTTGTTAACTGTTTTATCGTTACGTTTCGTTTGCGGCTGCAAACTTCCTCAGGCTGACGCTGACGGTGGCGTCACTTCCTTCTCCGTTTATCATGGGACTGCATCGTCGGAGAGGGAAGAGCGGGCAGCAGAGGGCGACAACGTCCTCTGCTGCCCGCGGATAAACGGAGAAGGAAGTGACGCCACCATCAGCGTCAGCCTGAGGAAGTTTGCAGCCGCAAACGAAACGTAGCGGGAAAACAGGTAACAAAACTGTTCTGTGTTTTAAAAAAAGAACTACAGCATGGAATTAAACACAAAGTTTAAGCTCTGGATCAAATAGCAAGAATTGTTTACCTAAATGTAAGGACAGTGAGCGGTCGGTAGGATTTGTGACTAGAGTTGCTACTCAGATTACTTCCCCAGAAGTCATTGCTCCATATGCTTCCCAAAGGGGTTGCTGGTCTCAGGTCCTGCAACACAAAGACAATAATGAGACAGGTGGACACCATCTGGTCTATGCTAGTATCATTTTGTTAGGTACAAAGCATTAGAGGTTGTAGAAACAGCATACTGACCTTGTTGTTGACAATTGCTTCAGAATCATCAAACACAAACTCTCCATCGTAGCTGTTTAGGAAGCAAAGGAGCGCCACCAGGGCGACAGCGACCTTGGCTTGGACTGGAGCAAGCTTTGGTAGGGGTATATGGTGATCCCAGTAAACTAGAGTCAGAGCCATAACTCAGTGGATCTTTGATCCTTCTTCAGTATTATCTCCCTGAGACGAGGAGGATGGGTGCAGGTGGAGTCATACCGTGTCACCTATTAGACACGCGCTCCAAATCATGTACTGCAGATGCTGATCTGCGTCTCATGAAGTGATCTCTAATCACTCTTTAATCACATTATGCATTCACGACGTATTGTACGGATACATGTTCGGGGAGGTCGGAGTTTTGTGTTACTCTCATCTTAGGTTTTCTGTTAGCTGCTTAGTAAATGTCTAAATGAAATAATCTAAACAATCGTTGCAGCTGCACACGAGGATTACGTTTATCGTTTTATTGCCATCCTAAGACGGACGGTAACGCTGCCAGTAGCTCTCGGCGGTCTAAGGTCAATGTATTGTCTTTTTACAAGCTAATCGTGCTAAACATTAGCATATCAAGTTAGCAGGTGCTACAATCATTACTGTACCTCGGGGCATGTGGCATATGCGCGGTCGAAAATGTTTAAGGGAAACCCCATCATCTGTACAAAGGTTTAACCAGAAAAATAAATATAAACAGCCCTTTAAATCAATTTATATATGGTTCAGCCAGAGAACTAGCGGGTGTAAACAAATACACACGCTCAAGAACCAATACTTCCGTCTTGGTGAAAAGATCACGTGCTCCGTTTCAGCCAATTAGAGAAGTTAACCAAAAGACAGCGTCACGTGGGCGCATCAGTGAGTGGGACACGTTCGTGGAGAGGAAAAGAGAAAATAAACCACAAAAAATTATTTTATTTCATATAATTTTATTTATATTATGATTTTATTTTGTTTTCTCTTACTCCAATAATTACAACAGACACTTGTTTTTGGGGGGAAGAAAGTTCTAAGAATATTTTATTTTTGTCTAATGCATTATTTAATGAATGACTCATACAGTAAATAGTTTAGTTTATATACAGGAATCTAAACACCTGGGTTTAAACTACAATGAATTAATAACCTACAACTACAATCTACAGACCTCAGAAGATTTTTTTCTTCCATGCATGTTACTCGCTGTGATCAGAGTAAAGCAAAACCATCACCAACCATGATAAACAGTTAATAATGAAAAACACATGCAGGCTGCATTGTTTACCTTGGGATGTCTCATGATGCTTAGTCACTGTTTTTCACTTCCACGCTATTTGACCTGACCTTTCCTTCCTCCTGGGATTCTGTATCAGACTGAACATAACCAGTATCTGTCATCTTCTGTGATATCACTTGTAAGTCGCTTTGGACAAAAGCGTCTGCAAAATACATAAACATATCACAAAACAAGTAGACCCTTCCTAACATGAGACCCCAATAGCAGCCCTGTTTCCCTGCATTTGGAAAGCTGGATGGCGGTTTGGGACATCCCCTCCTCATTATGTCCCCCATCCAGTCTTGCCCTTCTCGTCGAAAGGATGCTAATAAAATGAATTCCAACTGACTGACATGGGTGAAGAACCAGGAGATGAAATCCATACTTCATGCATTTTGCATGTCATAGTAATTAGGCCATTTTGGGGATTCTGAATGCCTCCACCATAGTAGATTTAGCAAATTTAAAGACTTGCTATTGATTTGAAAATATTCTAAAGACAAAGAGAGAAGCTAATGTAAATAGATAATTCCATGACTCTTAAAATATTCTTCAAAGTCTTAAGCATCACCAAACTGGTAGCACCCATAAAAATTGTCCGATCAGATACCCAGGGTGTTGTTTTGAAGCATAGCCCTAATTATGTCTGCTTTCATATTGAATGAGCATCTCCTTCTCTAATCACCCTTGAGACCCATGCTAAAGGTCTGAGAATGTGCCCTGGACAGTCCCCCCCACCCTTGTCGCTCTGGGCCCCTGACTCTGGCCATTAGGGAGATTCCTTGCCTTCTCAAAGCAATGGCAGGTGAAATGGAGCACAAAATCCCAAAGCCTTCCAAGGAGCCTCACCACTGCCTCGACATTTCCAGTTACATTTTCCGAACGCTAAAGTCACCGTCACTCCTGACACCAGATTAGACATTTTTAAACAAAAACAAATAATCATTGATGGGTAAAATAACACCACAAACCAAAAAACATTCTGTGTCGAGACACAACTTGATTGTAGCTCCTGACTTTGTATTTCTTGAACCAATACTTTGAATTGTAGTCAAACAAAATGTACATTAAAAGCTATATTCTGTTGGCAAAGAAACCTAGACAGACAGCAGTTGAAGTAAAACGATGCTCTGCATGTTGGTTTAGCCCAACTTCAAAGGGGCTTCAGCATGCTCACCATTGGCCTGACCGGTAATGTGTTATGTCAGTCACAGTGCCCTATTGGTCTGGTGGGCCAATCAGATGGCCCTTACACATTAGCGTCGGCACGGTCAGGGTTTGGTCGGGCTGGATGGCGTGAGTTTGGTCTCGAACGGGTAGTGTACTGTTCACATTTGAATCCGAGGGACTTCTCAGGAATGCAGAAATCCCCAAGCCTTTGGGCAGTGTTTAATATGCACGGGAAAGTCCGCGGTGTCCTCCATTATAAGGCAAACAAAGGCAGTTGTGTTTCTTTTGGGGACTCAAAACCACATTATTTTATTAATTTGCTGTGTGCCACACACACCTCCTGATTTCTCCCCTGAGCAGCTGTCTGCTTGCCAGGGCAAGAACTTTGATGTGGAGAACAGGCGCACACACACACACACACACACACACACACACACACACACACGCGCACAAACACACACAGAGCTATTCCCTTCTTCCATTCCCACACTGATCGGCAGCTCCGGAAAGGCAGCTCTGTGCTACAGACAGAAGTTTATTCCACAGCATCCAGCATGAAAATGAATGGCGCATGCGGGAACCCCCCGCTGGCTCATTCTTCTTGCAGATCGGAGGTGGTAGGCATAATTTCAGCCGGCCAATCAGTCCGTAGTGTTGCTTCGGTCCCAGTCTGACTGCTGGAGAGAAGGTCTCAGAAAAAGAGTCGCCTTGGCACCAAAAACGCTAATCTGACCTGTGTGTGTGCCGTTGGTACCTTTTGGGGCAGTGCTCACGCTAATATAAGCGCCAAGAGTGTCCTATCAGTTTGGTGGGTGGGATGATGTGACAGAACAAAGCAACAGGTATGGCAGTGGCCTGTTTGAAATGGCTTTGGCATCAATTTTGGACTATTTACACTTGGGCTTTTCTTTGAGTCACGAGCAGATAGAGGTACCTTGTGTCCACCACTAGGGGGCAGCCTAGAATAGAAAGTGAGATAGTGAGTGAGAGAAGAAGAAGGAATGAGGAGTTAAGATGGATGTCTGATATTGCACAGGTGACGCAGGTTCGAATAAAAATTGGAAAAATTATTCTTGCTTATTCGTGCTACTTTCTGATACAACTGCAGGCGATAATAGGTATTAAAGTCTTTTATTTAGAAAAAATGGTGTATTTGTGTCTTCTTTGACAGTATATGGTGGACTGCCCCATTGAATGACATCCGTAGTGGTGAGTATGTTGCATTTTTCGTTGTCCAAAAGCATGCAGACAGTTTGAAAGACCACCGTAGATTCCACCCCACGACAGATTTGTTTATGGGTTGTAGCCTGACTATATATTCACATATGTAATATTCTGTACCAGTATAATGTGTTGTTTTCTTTTTGGCAAAGATTTATTTAAAGCTGCTATAGCCAATTTGGAAAACAATTGAACTTACATTTTTTTTAATGCCTCTTAACAACATTCCATATCTATGTTACGTATAGCTATAAATATGTTGTGGAGATTTAAGAAAAACAAACCTGAAAATAATTAATAAAGTGGTTTCCTTGCATTTGTCTAAACTCCGCCAAATAACACTTTTTGGACTGTAAGCAGCTGTTGGGCCATCTGGTTGTCAGCTTTGCCAAACCACCGCACTTCCCTGGCTCCTCCACTCATTACGCATTTGCGTATTTAGCTACAGCTCAATAATATCAGAGAAGGAGGAACACCCGTCGAGAGGGTGCTCTGACTCTGATGGAATGGGCGGGGCTGACTCTGGTGCAGCTCCGCCTTTGTGGTTCTGCAGTGAGCACCACTTGCACCCATCTGCTACCACTTCAACTTTGTGTTCAAAACCTAGCTTGTTTGCAGATTCGATATAACAGCCTTAAATCCAAGTTTAGTGCCACATTGTCAAGGGAAATTACAATTTCTACTTTGAAGTTGGAACATTTCACCAACTTTGTAGACATTTTCTCCTTCAAACAGAGCAGAGCTCCACAGGAAATACATTTTATCCCCAAGCCTTTCCTCTAAAAGTCATCCAGGTATTATCTGCCTGAAGTGATTTTGAAAAGAAATGGCTTTGCAGCTATGAAAATCAATATAATGGCAAGCCACAAGATATGCTCACGTTATTGGGAACACCTACACACCTCATTCATGCACTTATAAAATCAGTCAATCATGTGGAGTAGAGCAATGTATAATATCGTGCAGACAGAGGTTGGGAACTGCAGTTATGTTCGCTTTAAACATAAGAAGGGTTACGGAAATGGATCTCCCAGGCCATGCCTGTGGTGTGATTATTGTCACCAGAAAAGCTGCTTGGAGTATTTCTGAGAATCTGCTTGGAACTTTATAAATGCTTAATAAAAGAGTTTGCTTGTGCAGGAGAAGATGTGGAAAGGAGCTGGGAAGGACCAAAGTCAGAGTTGCTGGTCAGCTCATTCCGCTGCCCAATCAGACCACCACAACATACCCAGAGGCTCTCATATCACCACCATTTGTAAATGTGTACCAAAGTACAAAATTATTACAAGTTTTCATCAATGCACTTAAACAATTATTAATTGCCTTTTTTCATTTACTTAAAGTGACAATATGTGTTTTCCCTGGCAATAGGGGGCAGTACATGCCTAAATCATTGCAAGCAAGCTGTCACACCCTGTCTTGTCTCCCCCTTTTGATTCAGCCTTGTGTCTCGTTAATTGCTCCCACCTGCCTCTCGTTTCCCAATCACCTTAGCTCCCTGCCCTCGTGCATTTAAGCCCCTTCTGTTCTGTGTCTTGTGTCGGTCCATTGTTTCATTGTCCAGCGTGTGTTCGAATAAACCAATGTTAAAAGTTCTTACCTGTCTGCCTGTCTTCCTCCCCGCGTGTGGATCCTCGCCTCACCTCCGCTCACCTCGCCCACATGCCGTGACACAAGCAGGATTTTTGTGTTTGAGAAAGACCATACCAACGATGGCCATTAGGGTCAAAAATCCCTGGGAGCACAACCTCCAGCAAAATGACAAGCAGATCAGACTCCCTGTCATCACTGGGAATGAGCGAAGAGGTAAATGTGTAAAACAAAATTTATGAATGGTGACATTTTTATAACCACTTGTTACAAATCAGTAAATACAAAAGGAAACATGGCATCACCCAGAGACTTGGACCCTCTCCCATGTACTTTAGACTTGGTTTTTCAATTCAGTTCAATTGAAGTTCATTTATATGGCACCAAATCATGACAAGAGTCGTCTCAAGGCACTTCACATAGTAAAGATTCCAATGCAGGTCAGTTCATTAAGCAAATAAGAAATAATGTTTCCTACATAAGGAACCCAGCAAATTGCATCAAGTCGCTGAGCAGTCCTCATACTAAGCAAGCATTTAGCGACAGTGGAGAGGAAA